GCTTGCAGTGAGCCAAGATCGTGCCACTGCACCTCCAGCCTGAGTGACAAGTGAGACTCTGTCTCAAAAAAAAAAAAAAAAAAAAAAAAAAAGGCATCACAGCCCATCCTACTGGAAAAATACAAGCTCTGCCTCCCGGGTTCACGCCATTCTCCTGCCTCAGCCTCCCGAGTAGCTGGGACTACAGGCGCCCACCACCACGCCCGGCTAATTTTTTGTACTTTTAGTAGAGACGGGGTTTCACCATGTTAGCCAGGATGGTCTCGATCTCCTGTTCTCATGATCCGCCCGCCTTGGCCTCCCAAAGTGCTGAAATTACAGGAGTGAGCCACCGCGCCCGGCCAGTTGTGATGCTCTTTATAGTTTATGAAAAGCTATGTCATAGTGAGGTATAAGCATCTAGCTCACTGATAAACACTCCTAAATAAATATGTGCGTTCATATTCATGCACACACAAGCAAGGCTGTACCCTGCCTATTCAGGCCCTGCAAGCAAGGCTGTGCCCCATCTATTCACACCCTCCTCCCTCAGTAAGTTTGTATCTCTTAGGTATCACCATGACTTTACCCATGCCTCTTAGAGGACTCTGTACTCATATGTCACCGCTCTCTTTATAACTGCAACCAACACCAACATCTACCCCCTACCCTCCCTGTCTTCCTCCCCGCTTTATTTTATTTCCTTAGCACTTATCATCTGACCTAACTGCATTTTTTTTTTTTTTTTTTTGAGACAGAGTCTCACTCTGTCACCCAGGCTGGAGGGCAGCGGTTTTTTTTTTTTTTTTTTTAACCTCTGCCTCCTGGGTTCAAGTGATTCTCCCACCTTAGCCTCCCAAGTAGCTGGGACTACAGGCATGCGCCATCACACTCAGCTAATTTTTGTTTTTTTGGTATAGAGGGGGTTTCACCACATTGGCCAGGCTGGTCTCGAACTCCTGACCTCAAGTGATCTGCCCGCCTCGGCCTCCCAAAGTGCTGGGATTACAGGCATGAGCCACCACGCCCAGCCTGGCTTACTGCATATTTTTATTATTTATTTTATATTATCTGTCTTTGCCAACTAGAATGCAAGCTCCATGAGAGCAGGATTTTTTGTCTGTTTTCTAGATTCTAGATCTTTGTGGATTTCCAGCACCTAGAGTGAGGCATGGCATTTAGTAAGTACTCTTAAGTATTTGCTGAATGAATTTCCATACCATATTCCAACATCTAAAACTGTTGGGGAAAGTCCACCTTTGGGTCGGATCCAAATTTCTCATGTTTCAGCCTGTTTATCAATACAGCAGAGAAGTCCATTGCTGGTCTCTTCTTTAGGCTTCATTCTCTTTGGTCACAGGGAAAGGGCATTGTAGAGACACTTACAACTGATATATAAACCAGGACAAGTCACTGTTCCCTTCTGAGCCACAGTTCTCCCATTTGTAGAATAAAGAAGTTACATGAAATTGGGAGTTCTTCACCTGGGGTGTTCAAGGAGTCCATATACAACTTCAGATTACTTGGAAAATGTATGTACATCTGCATTTTTCTGTGTCTGGTTCCAAAGCTTTTATCAGATTCCAAGCTCGAAGCCTCCAGGAAACTTTTTTTTCTGTGACTTTAGTTAACTGCAGAGCAAACTCTACAGAAAAACTCATTTTTCTGGGGTCTGGTTCTAACACTTTCATTAGCTTCCCAGCTCAAGGCTTCAGAAAATTCACAACTCCATGACTATAGTTTACCATAGAGCAAACTGCTGTGGTGACTCTCAGTCAGTCATGCAGCAAGAGGTGCAGGTGCACACACCCCCAACCTCTTCTTCCCCAAGCTGAGTTCCACCACAAGGGTAAGAGGAGAGGGCACCTCAGCCTCTTCTCTAAGCATCAAAGACAGATCTAAGTTTGGTCAACAGTGTACGGATAGAGTCTTGGCGGGGACTCTGGAAATCATGGCCCCAAGTCCAAAGGGATCATCTAGATTTCTTATTGACTTTACACCAAGTATTAGCAGGTAGCTCAGAACCCTGGTACTTATAGAGCTCCTGATCCTTGGCACCTTTAACAGGCTCTGTGCAGCCTGAATATAGTCATTGTTTAGAAAAGAAAGGGGGAAAATGTCGCTCCTACTGAGCAGATAGTTCAGAAATGGAACTATATAGAGACATGGTTTCCAACTGGCAGCCTAGTGCGGAGACAGGGCTCTGCACTCCTAGTTCTGCCAACCAAAACCACTCCTACCATCACAAGAGCAGCCAATACTTATGCAGCACTTGCTGAATGTTGAACACTTTCAATTGGTTACCTCATTTGATGCTCAGAACACTGCTTTGAGATACTCTTATTATCCTCATTTTCACAGATGAGGGAATGAGTATTTAAGAAAGCTAAGAAACTCACCCACTGTCACACAGCTAGTAAATGGCAGGGCTGGGATGTGAAGCCTGGCAATCTGACACCAAAGCCCACACTTGATCATTAAGGCATACAGGCTTCCACTAACTTACAGTGGGCCCTTGGTTTCCTCATCTATTCAAGGAGATGGTGGCCTCTGATGTTTAGAGACACAGTCAGTAGAGTATATGGCATATGGTCAGTAAGCAGCAGTTCTCTCTCTGATTTCCCTTCTTTTTCCCTGTTACATGGAGCCAGAGAAGGGAGGATTTGTGTGTGTGTGCATCGTAGTCATTTCTATTTTTTGGTCATGCTCAGCATGGAGGAAACAATTTATGGGAATAACTTCAAAGGGAAAGACAAATCTGTGATAGGCACCTGCTCAGCAGCAGATGCACTGAACACTCATTCTCCAGAAATCCCGGGGGCTCCTCCCTCACTCCTCCAGGTTCCCGCTCACAAGTCACTTCACCATGACCCGCTTGCCCCTGCATCTCCACCACAGTGCTCCCTGCCACAGACATGCCTGCTCCCTCTCTATGATTTTATCATCTCCACCATCTCCCACGCTGGAGTAAGCCCCAGGAGCACAGCAGCTTTGGTCTACTGTGTTCACTGTCGTATGCCAGTGCAAAGAACACAGAAGGCACTAAAGATATAGCTACTGAATGCATGTATGGTGTCTCACAACCCTGTGAGGCAGGCATTATTGACATCCCAGGTTACACATGAGGAAACCAGGGCTCAAGGAGGTTAGGTGACTTGCCAAAGGCCTCACACCCTGGACACTCCCACCACAGTGGCCTTCTGCACCCCAAAACACACCCATGCCACGATGCTTTCTGGGCCAGGGCCTGCGTGCATTCCGTTCCCCCCACTTCAGGTACCTCACTAAATCCTATCCATCCTTTCAGTCTCTGCTTGCTGAGGGGCAGCCCAGCCCCTTCCCTTCCACCCCGCAGCATCTCCAGTCACTTGTATCCAGCACCTTTCCTACAGAAATCATCCCACTTAAAATGACACGCCTAGTTATTTTTCCATGCCCACCAGAACCAGGCTGCACAGACTGGGTGCTTTGAAAGTATTTTTTGAATGGCTAAATCGCTTGCCTCTACGAAGGACTCCGCTCCACCAAGGCACAGCCGAAGATTTTACCCCTCCTCCCCCAACTCCTAGATCCAAATGACTTCGGGTCCCGCTTCTTCACCCACGAGGCTCCCCAAGGCCCCCCACCCCACACCTCGGCCTCAGCCGCCCACGCGCGCTCCTCTGCCCCCCCTCCCCGCAGGCCCAGCGGCTCCGGGCGCTGCGGTTACTTACTCTCAATGTAGCCGTGCAGAGTGACCATGCGCGCCCGCTCGGGGCTGCTGAACGGGGTGTAGTGGATGTCGTCGGACAGGGCGGAGGGAAGGCGGGAAGGGGGCGCCCCCGAGGGCGGCACTGGGTGTTGCGGCGTGTGCTTTTTATGACGCGCCCGGCAGTTTTGAAACCACACCTGGAACGACAGCCTCGGCAGCCTCAGCCTCGCTGAAAAGAGTCGGACGCGCCGCCAGGGTACCCCAGGCGGGACCGCCTCGTCGCCCCCTGGAGAAGGATGGCCACGTGCACGCACGACCCTCCGCGCCGAGCCCAGCTACGAGCTCCGGGGCGTGCCCGCGGTCCCCAGGCCCCGCCCACCCCGTCCCACCTGGATGACTCTCCGGCTGAGGCCAGTCATGTCCGCCAGCTTCTGCAGCGTCTGAGCGTCGGGGTTGTTGTCCTGCGCGAACTGCGCCTGCATAACCTGCGGGGAGGGGAGGGCGGTGAGGCGCCCGCACGCGGAGACTCCGAGACCCCGGCCCAATCAGCGGCGCCAGCCCGCAGGCCACGCCCCAGGCAGCTGCGGCCCCTCCCCGCCACCCGGGTCCGGGCAGAGGGGTGGAGCCAGGAGACCTTTTCGGCCCCGCCCACTTTCGGCCCCGCCCACGCCCCCGCCGCCCGCGGCTTGCCACGGTACCTGCAGCTGTTCCGCGGTGAAGGACGTCCGCGCGCGCTTGGCCGGCTTGGGTTGACTGTCCTGTTCCGAGGGCACTGCCCCCTCCAACGTGAGGCCGTTCCCTGGGGGCGATAGAAGCGGCTGACCACGCGTTCCCATCTCTTCTAGTGGCAGCCTGGAAAGGACGGGGGTGGGGGGAGCTTGTCCCTGGAAGGGTCAGGAGCGGGAGTTGGCTGGGAGTGGGGATCCCAGGGTCCTAGTCCCTGAGCTCAGTCTTTGGGGAAGGGGTTTCTAAGCGTCCGCTCAGTACTGGACACTCCTTACACGACTGGACCACGTCTTACAGCCCTGAGAAGAGGTGGCGTTACCTCTTTATACATGGGAGGAAACTGAGGCTCGGAGAGAAGGAAAGCCCCTGCTCTGGCTCTTTCGACTAGAAGCTGAAAGCTAGCTGACCCTAATGCCCCAAACTGGGCTCCATCCTAGCGAAACTGGGGGAAACCAAAGGCTAGAGGAGATAGGATGCAAGCAAGTAATGGAACTATGCTCCTAATTTTGTACAAATGAGCGGAAGGAAAAAAGGTTGTAAGAATATACAACAAGGTGTTGACAGTGGTTTACTTTCCAGGAATGTGATTATGGAAACTTTTTACTTTCAGTATTCCTGTAACTTTTGAGGTTTTTTTAAAAAAATCATATGTTGCCTTACTTCTCTAAGGGTGAATTTTGTTAACCGGAGTATATGTTAGATATTATCTTTCCACTCATATTACTTTTACAATCATACTAAAACACTAACTATATTCCCATTTTATTTTTAATACTTCATTGTTCTGAATATCCTCAAAGTCTTAGAAAATTTCCATAAGCACAAAGAAGAAAATAAAAATCACCAGTAATTTCAGCACTCAGAAATAACCATTGTTCACAATTTATTGTAATTTTTTAATTAGGAAAAAATTATGTTGAAGGAAAAAAGCAAACACTGTAACATACATGGAAAAAATCTGAAAAGATACATATTAAAATATGAAGGAGGCAGCATTTGGAGCAATCATTATTTTCTTCTTTTTGCTTACCATCTTTTCTAATTTTTCTACAATGAATGTCTGTGTATGTGTGTGTGTGTGTGTGTGTGTTATGTTTAAAAAGTGAAACAGTAGCCAATACTGAGGGCTGATCAGTAAGAGACATCAGAAGCCCCAACCTTCAAGTTCCTCAGAATGTTAAGTCTGTGGACAGGTGTGGCTGTGAGAGCTAGGATGTAATTGGCAAGGCTGTGACTACAGGTGGTCCTGGTTGGACCATGTGTGGAAGGAGCCTGTGGTCACTGTTCGACCACAGTGTGGGAAAGCTCTGACTCCTGGGTTTCCATCCCAGCTCTGCTGCTGACTTGCTGACCACTGCAGATAATTTCATTGCCCACCACTGCAGATAAGCAGGCAGCAAGTGAAACCCAAGTTCACTAGATGGCCCCTTAGACCCATTTAGTCCTGATCCTGGCAGGAGAAAATGATGGCCCTGTTATGGCCATGGCCAGGAACACTCTGGCAGTCCCTGACTAGTCCCCAGGCTGGGACCTAGAAGTTGAGGCAGTGTGGTTCATACTCCTCCCCAGAGGAACTGGGGATTGGGCAGACACTCTGTGGTATTAATGTCCCCCAGGAAAGCAGGCAGGGCAAGGATTGGTGTGTTGGTTTTTTTAGATGGGAAACTAAAACAGAGGCAGCAACATCCCTGAAGCCTCCTTGGCTTTATGAGATGGGATTAAGGTACCCTAGAGCTTAGGGCCAAGGTGGTATGGTATGGCATGGTATGGTATGGTATGGTAGTTAAGAGGCTGGGCTTTGGAACTAGGCAAATCTACTAGTATATAACTTTTGGCAAATCCTGTTTCTTCTTCTGTAAAATGCGGACGTGCCACCTACTTCCTAGGGCTGTTGTAAGGATTAAATAAAATAATCCCTGTTACAGAGAAGTTAGCAGCTTTCACAGACCCTAACAGGGGAATTAGAGAAAGAGTCCCTGCCTCTGCCCACAGCCAATTAGTGCCTTTCCCCAGCTCCATCCCGTCTGTGTCTTGGTCCCCAGGATCCCTGAAAGACCTGAATCTTGTTCCTGGGCAATCTGGGGAATCACAGTGGCAGAGCCAGAAGAGATTTAGGGATCATTCTAGTCCAGTATCTGTCTTGCACAGATGTGGGCACTGAGGCCCAGAGAGAAAAGGAAACTTCATATGTCAACACAGTATGTGAGAGCCTGGTCTCCAGACTCAGAAACCTGGTCCTTTCCCCTTGTAGTTAGAGACCCTGGTGGGGGATGAAAACCCCTCCTCAAACCTCTGGCTTGGAGCTGCTAGTATAGGAATTGGGAGAATGGGAGCCAAGTCATCTCTCCAGGACTGGCCCAAGCCTGGTCCTGGGCAACTGGAGGCGATCAGCCCCCCGGGCCAATGAGAGCTGTCCAAACGTGGAGTAGGCTGCCCGGTTATGAGAACCATCTCTAGAGTTCACTGAGTGCCTCCTGGCCTTACAACATATCAGCTCGTCTATCTTTGGGAAGGTGTTCTGTCGTTAACGCCATTTTACTGATAAGGAAACATAGTTGCAAAGGAGGGCAATGACTTCTAACTTTCAAGCAAAAGATCGAGCCGGAAGTGCAAGATCTGTGCGCCGCCCCACCCCTACGCTGCCTGCGGGGCTATACCGGGAAGGCCCAATCTATAGAGGAGTGTGGGTGGTTCCTGGGGTGCTGGGGTGGGGTGGGGAGGGAAAGGGCTGGGGGCAGAGGTGCCAGGCGGAGCAGGTTGGGTACCGTTCTCGGCGGCCCTCTTGAGATTCTCAATCATGGTGTCGTAGTGGATGCGGCAGAGCACCTTCTCCTCCACCAGGCCGAACTCCTCACCAGTGGACAGCTGGCGCTTGCACGAGAAGCAGGCGAAGCAGGCCAGGTGGTAGGCGTTGCCGCGAGCTCTCCTCACCCAGTCGCTGGCGTAGATCTGTCGGCCACACCGGGCGCACTTGGTCCCAAATCGGCTGCAGGTCGAGAGGACAGGCACGGGGTGTCGAGACTCAGACAGGCCAACCTTCCTCCTGCCTTCCACCACCCAATGGCCCGCCAGCCCCTAGGCTCCTCGCCTGTAAGTCTTCAGCTCAGGCATTAGCCTTAGCTTGGACGCACCAACCCTCTACACCTAGTCCCACCAGGTGAACTGATGGGTGATTTTTATTTTCTTCTTGGTGTTTTTCTGAATTTTCCAAATTTTCTATGATGGTCACTTATATTTGCATATTAATTTGTTTGTTAAAAATACATCACAAGTTAGAAAAAACACAATAATAGTAATAATAGGCAAGTTATTGAGCACTTACCACTTGCCCAGCAAGATTCTAATTGTTTTACGTTGATTATCCCAATTAATCCTCATTTTGCAGGTGAGGAAAATGGGGACCAGAGAGGTAAAGTAACTTGCAAGAGGTCACACCGCTTGCAATGATAGGAACCCTAGCCATCCTGACTCCAGAGATGAATATAAGCTATAGCCCCAGCAGCACAGAAGTGCAGTTTCTTAGACGAACAGACAGATAAGCACTTACTGGCTTTGTGACCCTGGGCAAACTGTTTAACTCTGAGTTATCATTTTCCTTGTCCTGCACTGAACTAAATGACAACAGCAATGACTCTACTGTTTGTTTAGTGCTTTGTAGTTGGCTAAGTACCCAGCAAGTCCCTCTGGAGCCTGTGACATTCTATTAATAATACTAAATGTTAAAAAGACAAAAATAAAAATAAAAAGTCTGGATCGAATGTCTTCTTGCCCCTTAAGCCTTCCTTGATTCTACCTCTTCTCCTTCTCCCTTCTGGTTTTGTAGTCTGGCAATCTGGGTGCAGCTGCCTCCAACAGCAGACTGGAAGCCCCTCCAGGAGGCAGCAGAGTCTGGTTTACTCCATCCCAGAAGTCAGCCCAGGGCCTGACCCCGGGCACCAAGGAAAGTGTGTTCTTTAAAGTGGATGACCCACCTATGACTCTGTCCCAACCCTGGCAGCCTGTTTCCTCCGGTACACCCTCTGTTTCAGAGAATGGTGCCACCACTCGCCCAGCCCCTGAAGCTTGAAAATCATAATCATGCACTCCTCTCTCTCCTCAACCCCTCCTCCAGCCAATCATCAATGCTGTTGGTTCTGTTTCCCAAGTATCTCTGGGATCCATCTCCTTCTCACCATCTCCACTGTTGCCCTCCTAGGCCAGGCTCCCATCATGCAATCCTCACTGTCAACCTCCTCCCGGGTCTCCCTGTTTCCCGTCTCGCCGCTGCCATCCTCCACAGAGCAGTCACAGCAAAGTTTCCAGCATGCACATGAAATCCTGTCTCTGCCTTGCTTACAATCCTATGGTGGCTCCACTCTATCCTCAGGATCTGGTCCAAAACCCTTGGGGTTTGCAAAACCCCAGCGACCACATCCTCTTCAGGCCCATCTCCTCCCTAACCTTCAAGATATGCCGCCCCACCATCCAGGCATGTGTCCCAGTCAGCCACAATGGAAGGTCACTCCCAGGTCTTTATGGCCTCCTCTGAAGCACTTTCCAACCCCCAGGCCTTTGCACTGACCTACCCTCCCCCAGAGTCCCACGGCCTCCTGCACCGCTCTCTCAGCGCTGACCACACTGGTTTGTAAATGTTTCGTTTCTGGCTCTTCCCTTCCACCCCTTCCACCTTCTTAGATTTGGGGGCCTGGGGTTGCGGGTGGGGAACCAAGAAGATTTGCCTCTGCATCCCCAGGGCCAGTACCCCTCCACCCGGGGGAGCATTCGGAATCGTCTGTGTGTGCACGGAGGAAACAGTCCGGCAAAAACGCTCTGGTTACAGCCTGCCTGCCTTGACAAATTCAAGCAACTGTCGGTTGAAAAAAACAGCGTTGGCTTGGACTGAGTGCAGGAGCCCAGAGGCTTCTACCAGTCTCCGCTCGCAGACTCAACCTCAACCCTACTGTCTCCGACAAGGAGCGCGAGAGGACCCTTCCGAGGGTGGCGCGGTCCCCTCAGGAGGCGCTGAGCACCTTAATCTAGTCCACCGCTCCCCTAAGCGGAGGCGGTTCCGGACCTCGGAAGCGCGGCTTCCCCAGCGGAGTGCCCAGCTCAGCCCACGGTCTCTGTTCCCCGTCCCGCCGTTGAGGGGAGAGGAAACCGCTTTGCCCAACCCAGCCTACTCCCCCCGAAGGGCCGACCCCGGGTTCCGCCACCGGGCTGGTAGTATCCGGATTGGGAGCACTTTCTGGCCTCTGAGGGGAGGCTGGCTTCTGATTATGTGTGCTGCAGGAGGAGGGGGAGGCCAGCCGCGCTCAGAGCCCTTACTACGGGCCGGGGTCCTGGGGCGCAACGCCTTCATTGCACCCTCTCGGTTTCGTTGCAACCCGGTGAAGTGGGGACTCTGGCATCAGGTTTTCATACGAGGAATCGAAGGTTCAGAGCTGGCGAGTGGTTTGCGGAAACTCCACAGAGTATGGAGCTGGGGTTGAGGCCTCCTCCAAAGTGCAAGAAGTACCTAGAACCTGCGGAGCAACTGGCATGGCGACGAGGAAAGCCGGAATCCCGCATGGATGAACAGGAAGCGGGGCTGGTCTAGCAGTGCCGCGTCCTCACTCCGGGCCGCTGATTCTGGAATCTCCAGCGCGCGGGGCCAAGGGCCCACCCGCCCGGAGAAGGCGGTGAGTGCGTCCTCAGGGAGCGGAAAGAGCCGGAGCAGGGAAGGTCATGGCCATCAGAAGCTGGGCAACAGCGGCTGAGCCTTCTGTGCGCTTGGCTCATGGGATTCTTTCTCCTTGACCAGGGACGAGTCAAAGACTCTCTGCGCACCGCGATCTTCCTGCCCCGCGAGTCCCCGACGCCCGAGTCCGTTCTGCGCCTACACAGGTAGGTCACAGCGTCCTCATACCCTTGGTCCGAAATAGGCGCCACGTGACCTCTCAGCAACTTTCTTATGCTCCGCGTGTCACCCGAAATGCTGGAAGCTGTCCCAGCTCTAGGATCCTCCTGCGCTCCTCGTGGCTCAGCCCAGTTTAAGAAATCGTCCTCGCGCTGGAACCTTGAGGTGGGGTTAGGGCGGATTATGTAGGTTTGGTTGCATTGCAGACTGCCCTGCAGCTTGTCCCCGACCCAGGACAGGAGTCACCAGCATGAAGGGCGCGAGAAAGCTTATCGATCCAGGCTCTGACAAAACGACATTCCTTCCCAGGCGGGCTGCGAGGCCGGAGCCACCGGATTCCAGAAACAGTGAAATCGGCGGCGGAGACAACGAAACTTCAAGAAAGAGATGTGCAGGAACTGCCACCAGAGCGCCAAAGGGATTAGGGGGTGTGTCTACTGCCACCCCAGCTTTGCTGTGAGGTCCGGGCCTTGCGCGTCCCTGGATCCCGGCATATGAAGGGCCTAGATGCAAAGGACCCACAGCGCTTTGGGGATGGAGAGGTGTTCGACAGATACTGCTCATCCTGGCAACTGTTAAAAGGAGTAAGGTGGGCGTCGCGCACCGCAGTGCCCTCTACCCCCTGAAAGGAGAGCAGAGATATCTGGGTACTCGTGGTTGTACGAAGGGAGCTCTGCGCCCTTAACCAAGTCAGACTCACTTTCCCAGCCTACTATGCTGGATATCTAGTAAGCGCTTGGTAATTATTTGTTGGATGAATGAGCCTCAACGAAAGAGCCCATCTGAGTTTCACCTCGACCCCTTCTTCCACTGTTAAGCTACCCCTTTTCTGCACAAGGAAACCAAACCTCAGAGTGGAAACGCCAATGTTAGTTACCAAGCTATTGAGCCAAGAGGCCGAAACTCAAACGGGGGTTCACTTATTTTAGGTTCAAGACGTTCTTGAAGGCCTTAGATCCTGTGAGGTGAACAAGGTGGGTTGGAGGTGGAGCCCTAGGTATTCTCTCTGCTCCTTCCCTTCCAGGTAAACCCGTAGGGGAAGACGCCAGGGGGGAAAGAAAAAAAAAAAAAAAAAACAGAACCAGCAATTAAGAGGTTAAAACGACCGCTTCTCGGAGGTCCCGGCCCTGAGGCTCCTCCCCCAGCTCCCCTCTCAGTTCCCCCAACATCTGTCCCCCAACAGCTGGCCGCCGATGGGCCGCTCTCTGCCGCGGTGGGGGGCCGCTTCCCGCTCCGAGCTTCCCCTGGGACCCTCGCTCTGCGGGAGGGGGTGGGGTTCTCCCGCTGGAGCCCGCGACAGAGCTTGGGCTCAAGGCGGAGGGCCAGAGAAGGCTGGGGGCTTGCCTGAAGTCGTTTGGGCCTAGCTATGAAGAGGAACTTTAGCCTCCAGGGCACTCACTGAACCTCCACCCCCATAAACAAGAGGGGATGCAGTTAACCCTTTACTCACCACTCCCATTGTCAGAAGGCAGGAGGGCCAGGGACCACAGTGACCTGATATTGACAAAGGTGCTCCACTCACAGGCCTCTGAAGTCACTCCTGCCCCAGTGTTGCAAGAGCACCCAGGGAGCCACACATCAGAAAACACAGTGGGTGTGCCAACCAAACTGGGCAGGGAATCTTAGGATCAGCAGAGAGGGGCTCCATGATGCATAGATGAGTGGCTGATATATCTCACCTATAGAAGAGTAGGGGAGTGTTTAGGGGCAGGGATGGTTGGAGCCAGGCCGCTGTAGGGCTTATGTAGTCTCTACCACTTAGCCGTGTGACCTCATCTCTCAGGGTCTCAGTTCCTCAATCCCACCCCAATGCCACCATAATGTGGGATTATGAGAGTATCATACATACAAGGTGGACCTGAGAATTAAATGAGATAAAGCAGGTAAAGGGTTAGCCCAGTTCCTGGCTTAGACAAGAACTCCATACATTCTGATGACTGGTGTCCTGTGTGACTGCAAGCAATGGCACTTTCTCAGGACATTAGTCTCACTTATACAATGGGCATGATGTTTCAGCAGGCTGAGGGAGCCAGGAGGGCACTGTAGATCGGGCCATGCTCTATTGTAAGGCAGCAGCTGCAGGTATGGGAAGCTGGGGCTGTGGTTTTTGGTAGCAGGGGAAATGTGAATGTCCCAGAAAGGAGCACTATTTTTCTTCCAGAATTTTCTTCCATTTTTGGAAGAAAACAGAAAGAAAAATGGTCTTAACAAAAAGGTGAAGAAATTAAGAGTCCTATCACATTTTTCTGGTGGTAATTTTTTTTCCTGCTGGGAATCTCAGGGAGTAAGGGGAAGTAGGGATCTGGTTGAACCCACAAGGGCTGGTAAGGATCCTGTTTAGAGTGTGAATTGGAGAAACTGAGACAGAGTCCAGTGGCCTGGCCAAGGACACGGAGCCAGTGAGAACCAACCTCTCCCAACAATGCAAATGAGCCAGGAGCAGCTCTGGACCTCCTTGTCTCCTCTATGCTTTGCAGACCCTCTCCCTGATGAACTTGGAGTTCCTTCCTAACCTTTAATTCCCTGAACCACCAGTGCTAGCTCTGCCAATGGAGACTGAAGGAGGGTCTATAAGATAATGTCAAGGAGGGACAAGGTGGGGGATAGAACCTAGGTGACCCTCTTCCCTGGGGAAAATACCAGAGGTTAGAGGACCATGGGCTCTCCATACCTTGGGCAGAGTGCTCCAGTCCACCTCCTACCAGACTCTTGATCCTGGGCTTCAAGAAACAGAAGCCTAGAGAATCTCAGCATGTGACCCCTCCTTGGGCCCCAGCTCCCTAGAGGAAAATTCTGCCTCCCACACCACCATTCACACTCTCTCCAGGAAGAGCTTCCTCATAGCAGCCACCCAGAGTTTGGACGGCATTGCAGTGCAGATAATAGTCCTTGCTTGGCACTCGACCGGCTTTTTCTTTCCCTTTTTGTGGGTTTTATTATTTTTGTTACAGGTGGGGCTGCCAGGGATGGGTTATGCCTGCAGGGAGAAAAATGATCAGAAGAGCCACAATTCTACTCTCAATCCAGGGAATGTGAGCTTTTACTGCCTCCATTTTCTTAACCAGAAATCTGGTTTAGTTTTGCTTTCAGGGCTCTTGTCATTGGAAAAAGATTAGTGCTCAGAACCTGCAGCCCAGAAATGGCCCAGTCCCATCCCTCCAGGCAGGCTCTGCTCCTCAAGCTGCGTGGGGAAATGCCATCGTGGGCTTGTGCCCAGCATCCACCCTGCCAAAGATGACAATGGTGATAATCGAGGCATTCATACCAACCGCCATTTAGGGAGTCTTTATGGAGACTTCCCCCAAGAGTGGCCTCTTTGGCAGCTCTGGGAGACAGCCTTGGAAAGGGCAAACTAAGGGAGGAGAGATTTAGCAACTTGCCAAGGTCACAACTGGCCAGACTGGGCCCAGTCTCCTGCCTCTTCCCACAGTGGCTGCACACCCTACTCTACCCCACTGCAGTAGGAAGAGGACTCCAGAATAAGGGGAGGCTCTCAACAGTGGAGTCAGGATCCGTGTTTTGACTAGTTTCAAGGTCTAGTAAAGCACAATATCCAAGGAGGCTCAGTCCAGCATGGGCATGAGCTAAGGCTGAAGAAGCAGAAAAGAAATTTGGGCAAGTAGCAAATAAGGCTGCCAAATCTATTGTTAGGAGAGCCAGGAGAGGTGTCCTGGTGGTGCCTTAGTCTATGGGAGAGGCCCAGACACCATTCTGCTGGGGTTCCCAAGCTGGCACCCTGAATTTAGTAGCTGAGGAATCCAGGAAGCCCCCAAGCATCATCTAGCATGTTTTTTTGTATGTATGTTTGTTTGTTTTTTGAGACAGAGTCTCGCTCTGTCACCCAGGTTGGAGTGCAGTGATGTGATCTTGGTTCACCACAATGGCCGCCTCCTGGGTTCAAGCAATTCTCCTGCCTCAACCTCCTGAGTAGCTGGGATTACAGGCACATACCACCACACTCGGCTAATTTTGTATTATTAGTACAGATAGGTTTCACCATGTTGGCCAGGAAGATCTCGATCTCCTGACCTTGTGATCTACCTGCCTTGGCCTCCCAAAGTGCTGGAATTACAGGCGTGAGCCACAGTGTCCAGCCCATCTGGATGTTTTATACTAACTGGAGTCAGGCCTAGAGCAGGGAGGTGGCTAGACAGTGACTGTAACCTCCATTTCCTGTCCTGACCAAACCAGTAGTCAGATGGGACAGTGAGAGGAGACATCACACTCTGGTTACACACCATTAACCCCCTTCTGACTACACACACACAAACACACACAGAGACACACACACACAGCCATCCAGATTCACAAATACATTCATAACACCCTCTTCATCCCTCAGTGTCTGGGTGGAGGCCCTTACGCAGGAATATCCCCTCGGTGGAGTGGAATGATGGGATTTCAGAATCCCCTCACCTCACCCTCTCACCTCCAGATCCTAGTCCAGAAGTAATCCTGTCCTCACTACTTTGCGTGCATGCACACGCACACATACATGCACACACACAGTCTCAACATTCACATACAGACACCTACTCTTGACACCCACACAGGAACTAAGAGATGAATGTTTGTCCATAAACGAACACACATGCTATCCACACACCCCCAACCCTGCCCAGTGATGCTTTCCCCAGCACTACTGCACAGATCCCAGACAATACAGACACACAGGCACTCCTTGCACACTGAGTCCTACGCCACCTGGTTGAGCCATCCCCACCCCACCCCAGCTGCACACTCTTTCACATCCATCCCATAAAGGAAGAGTCTGTCTCTTTAACCATGCTTCCCATGGTTTCTTCAGAGTACCCTTGCCCCAAATGCTGCCAACCTCCCCCTAGACTCAAGATCTTCTCTTTCCAGATCCCTGGAGGCTCAGTGCCAGTGCACAGGAGGAGATCATCTTCCACCATATTCCCTGATTCCCAGAGGCTCTTTCTAGGGCAGGGGTCTGGCCAGGAAGACTGAAGCTATGACGTCTTCCTATGCAAGAATAGGAAGGATGTCTGTGGGTTGAAGGGTAGTTATAGGGAAGCAGCTTTCTTCACTTTTTGAGAAAGCACTTGGAAACAAGCACCCCTCTCAGGAACCAGTTCCCCATCATTCTCCTCCGATCCCATAGGCCTGGTGGTACAAGCCTCTGGCCGGTTGATGCCTCCCACTGGGATCAGCAGACAAGACCATGACCCTGCAGTGACCTCGACCCCATAATCAGGTCAGGTCTTGGCTTCATGGCTAGAAGTGAGGCCCAGGCAAGTGGTCCAGACACAGCAGAACAGAAGGATGCGCCAGGCTGCTGTCGGCTGCTGGGACGCGGTCTGCAGTACGTGGAGCACAGCCCGGGATAATCCCACTCAGGGCTCTGGGTGCCCGGTTCTCCCACTTCCCATCCCTGCGGCGCAAAGGCAAGGCCTAGACCCTGGAGAGGCCAAAGTTGGGCCAAAACAACAGCGAAGCTGGGACCTGAACAGGCGCCGGGGGCCCGCACATGACCCCAGACTCTCCAGTGACACTCCAGTGACGCCGGGGAATGAGTTGAGATGGAACTGGAGACAGAGGTTGGGATTCAGGACGAGGCGCTTGGGTATGGGATCGGATCTGAGACTGTTGCGGGGCTGGTGCTTGGGGCTGGACCAGACCCGAACCCAGAGCGGAGCCCGTGTCAGAGCCAGGGCAAGAGTCCGGAGCCCAGCTCAGCGACCAGCCTGGGAGAGACCCCAGCATGACTGATGTCCAAGTAGGGTTGGAACTCGAAGACCGAGCGCACTGGAAATGCAGCCGGATGACGGCTAGGATCCGAGTGGGTCCCGACCAGAGCTGGGGACGTCAGAGCTCCACCGAGGCGCTCGAGGTCGGAACTGGAGCCTGAGACTTAGGCAGGACCCGAGACAGAGTCAGAGACGATACCGAAACCCAATGGACCGCGAGGACCGAAGGCAGATCGGGGGCGCGAACCTGTGCAGGCACCAGCGCGCTGCCTGGAGCTCTGGGTTCGCGCCGGCAGGCTGGGCCAGCGCTGCGCGCCGGAAGTGCACTCCGGACGCCGGGGCTCTGGAGCGAGAGACCACATGCCGCAAAAGTGGCCTCCGAATGCGCCCGGGGCCAGCCCTCTGCGACACTGCTGGCCTGGCGACCGCAGCCTACCTGAAGTAGTCCATCTTGCAGAAGATCTCCTTGTTCTTGATGTAGCAGCTGTTCTGCTGCCTCAGCGACGTGCGACACACGGAGCACTCGAGGCACCGCACGTGCCAGATGAGGTTGTTGACCTGGGGAGGGGGCGGGGACGGGGGTCGGCTCAGCGCGGGCCTCGTTCACGCCGGGTCCCAGCCTCCCCGGTCCCATTTGCAGTCAGAGATGCTGAAGCTCAGAAGGTGCATGCGATTCCCCTGTTTTTCTTGCGTAATACTGAGACTCAGGAAAATGGAAATAAGCTCTTCCTATTTTTCAGACGGAACCCGGGGGTGCAGACAAGACCCTAAGTCTTGCCCAGAGCCTCGCAGTCGGGCAGGCGTGGAGCCAGGATTTGTAAGTAAGAGGACCTGGCGCCTGCGGTGCTTTCCTGCAGTCTCCCGTGCTGCGTCCCACGCCCCGACAATACGCACTCAACACCTACCCCTGTCTCACCTTGAGCAGATACCGGTCCAGGATCTCGAGGCCGCAGCTGGAGCAGATGTTCTTGCCGGCAGACGGCACGGAGGAGGCGGCAGAGGGCGGTGAACAGACAGATGGCGTGCTGGGCGTACATGGGGAGGCCCGACCCTCGTCCTTGTCCAGAGCTCCTGCCAGGGCCTCGGCGTCAGACTGCGCCTGCGGCGGGGGAGAGGAGAGAGGAGCGCTGACCCGGGCACCCAGAGTTGGGGCTGCCTCGAAGACAAATCTGGGGCCCCCGAACACCAATTGACAACGAAATCTCCCCGGGACGATGCGCCGTAGACTGAAGGACAGGGATGGAAGGGCCTATTGGAGAGGAAGGGACGGCGCCAACTTTTAACACGCGCATTCTGGGTGCTAGGAACAGTTAAAGCCAACATTCCCGGCCGGAAAACCGAGGCTCAGAGAGGAGCGACGCCCGCCGGGAGTCCCCCAGAGCGTGAGCAGCGGTTCGTGGCCGGAAAGCCTGGCCAGGTCCCCAGGGCCAGGCCGCTGGAGGACTGGGCACCGCAGGCAGGGCCAAACGGACTCACCATGGCGGGCGGCGCGGTCCCTTCAAGACAGCGGGTGGTCGCTTTGCAGCCGGACCCTGGCTGGGCCATCACCTGGGGGAGGGGGGAGGGAACGCAGGCGGCGGCGGCTGCTGAACTGGCTCCGCGCAGCCTGAGCCCAGCGCCTCCCCGCGCCTGTTATATAAACCGGCGCCGAACAATGAGTCCTAACTTTGTAGTGGGCATTTAAAGCCCTTCCCCACAAAAGCGGTGTCTCTCTAATGAAGCAATTTGAATTTGGATTGGATTTTTTCCCTCTCTCTCCCCCTCTCCCTGCACTTAACCCGTGGCTCTTGAAGTAATCGCTTAGTTCCCTTGCAATCCAAGCCTCTGAGGGGGGAAAAAAACACGCGCACACACACACAAACTACCTGCAATTAGAAATTGTCGTGAATGCCCAAGATAAGAGGTAGCCAGAGTGTCAATTCCAACTGTCAATCAGTGAGATCCATCAGGCCGCCCAAAGAATTGCAAATTTGATTTTTTAATGGTAGTAATTAAAAATCGAATTTTTTCTCTCTCCACCCACCCCTCCCCCTTCCTCGCTCCCTTCTCCCCTCGGCACAAAATGCAAAAAGGAGAAAAGAGAGAAAGAAAGAAAATAAAAAAGAGATGGGTGAGGGGCGGAGGGTGGTTGGAGAAAATAAAACCCCGAGCGCGGTGAGCACCCGCCCGCCCGCCCGCCTGACACGCGCCGCGAAATTGAAGCGGCGGTATTGACACGGATTCAGGCGCCTTTCGAGGGCCAGTCGGAGGGAAACCCGGAGCAAAAAGGGAGCGAGATCGGGGGCGAAACGGGACCAAAAAGAGAAAAGAGAGGCGCTCAAGGGGAGGGAAAAGCACCCTACAGCCCCTCCGCGTGCCCAGGACCGGCCCCGCGTCGGGATTCTCAGCGCTGCGCCCGCACAACCCCCGGCGCATCGGCGCTATCAGCGTCTATTCAGACGGACAATACCGGCCTCGCCTCCTCTTGATTCGCCTGTGTCTTTACTAAATCGCTTTTTGAGAAATTCCTCCAACATTTGCATAATGTGTTCCCGCTTTCCGCGACCCCCCCTCCTCGCTCGCGCGCGCTCGCACACTCACAAGCACACACTCACAGGCTCAGCCTCGTACCCCTCCTTCCTGCAGCCGCCCGCCACCCGGCTCGGCCCGGCTGGGTCCCTTACCCTACCCGACCCCGACCCGGGCCGCTCACCCAGTCGTTCGCCGGCTCACCTGGTCGGTGGCGGGGCCGCCCTCGGCCGGCAGCCGGCAGCCCTCGGGCAGCGCCGGGGCGGCGTTCTCATGCTTCCAGTACATGGGCCGGGGAACCTCGGGCTCAGCGGGCGCGCAGCGCGGAGAGCTGCGCCAAGGGGGGCCACAGCCGCAGTGGGAGCAGAGGCTGCTGCACGAGCAGGAGGAGAGCGGAGGCGCCGGCCCAGCCGCCCCGGGCCCGGCCCCGGCCCCGGCCCCAGCCCCCGCCTCCGGCCCGCGCGCAGCCCCGGCCTCCCTGGCTGCTGCCGCCGCTGCCTCGAAAGAAGGTCCCGACAAACTTGGAGAGGCCCCCGCCCCCTCCTTCTTCTCCTCCTCCCTCTCCTGGTAGTCCTCCTCCTCCTCTCCCTCCTCCTCGTCCTCCTCCCCCTCCAGCTGCAACGGCGGCCGCCCTGCCGCTGGAGCCCCGCTCGGTTCAAGATGAGTCATGCGTGACCAATCCCCTCCCCGCTAAGGGAGAGCAAGACACACACGACGAGGCAGAGACCCAGAGAGAGAGACGCACACACAGACACAGAGATACACAGAAACTCAGAGCTGCCGACAGAGAGACTCGGAGACACGCCGGTACACAAAGGCACCGGCGGGCACACATCCACCCAGCTCTCACTACCGCCCCTCCCTCAAGGGGCACCCATCTTTCTCAGACACTGCCCCACTCACAGGTACAGGAGGGACCCATGGCCATACCATCTGCGGAGACAGATTCCGTAGGAGGTCACACGTTGTTATACTGTGTTGATGCAATCCCATGCCTGGTACATTTGTGTACACACTAATGCAAGCGATTACCTGTTCACATCATTTACACAGGCACGAGGCACCACACTTACCCTCACATACCTGCACAGATACCTCTGCTACATAAGAACCAGACAGTGTACCAGCTCCCAAGGACTGAGTGGGATCAGGTTGGGTGAGACAGGAGGGTAGTTTTCCTGAATTCTCTTGGAAGGGATTGCCTGGCACATCCCCCTTCCCTTCAGGATTTGCTTAACCACACAGTTTAATGCCCATCTCATCTTCTCTAGGGTTCTACTGACAATGAGAATGGTAGGGAAGGCGGGAAGGCCCAGGCATTTAGACAGAAGACACTGCCCCCAGACACACAGACACAGAATCTTCAAACCCAAAGATGGAGCCTCACACACACTAACACCCTGCAGCATACACAAGCGGACACTTAGCGCCTCAGCCCCCTTCTCCACATACAAACTGAGCCTAAAGAGACACATGTAAACATACATCATCTTCTAAAATCAAATAAGCACACTCAGACATAGATCTAGCCTTACAGACACTGTGACAGCCCATCCTCACTACATCACACATGTCATCACCTCCATAATTGCCCTCACTGACAGATGTAAACACCCTACACACACAATTGTTCTTACATTTGTACACACAGCCATACTCAAGAGGGCACAGACTTTCACAGAGCTCCAAACCCATGTATAACCTTATGTCCTCTACTCAGGCACCCTCAAATATGTACTTACATCCTTACAGATGGTGAGGCAACCATTGATAGGCATTTATAGGCAGACACAGCACACACACTTGTGCAGCCATAGATTCCCAATAGTTACAGTCTCAGTTTGCACATACACAGGCAGGTTCTGAAAGATGCAGGTGGTAGAGGGTGCCTGCACACCATCACGATACTAAAGACCCACACCCATATTCCCCAGAGATACAAATATCTGTTTCTTTACTGATGCCAAGGTACACAAAAACAGCCCCAGCCTCAGCTAATGGCATTTCCCACCCCCTGCATTCATTGCTCTCAGACACAGAAATTCACAGACACAGAAATTCAGAGTGAAAAGAGTTTCCCTTTGAACCCTAATCTTTTATTTAATTTAATTTTATTTATTTTTTTAAGATGGAGTCTCTCTCTGTCGCCCAGGCTGGAGTGCAGTGGCAAAATCTCGGCTCACTGGAACCCTAATCTTTTATACGAAGAGAACAAGTTGCATTTTGAAAGCAGGTGAGGTGTATGCATAGTTGCACATGTGTACACACATACACACGCATTCTCAAACATGAACACAGAAGAACAACCCCTCCCCCTCAAATATCTCCTTTGCACATAATAATTTCAGCTACTACTGGGATTATTCCCAGTTATTACAGCTATTAATGTCTGCCAGGCATGATACTAGGCATTTTACAATCATGATCTCATTTTCCTTTCACAATAATCCCGTGAGGTAGTATCTCTCAGGGTGCTTGTTTTACTGATAAAGAGACTGAGGTTCAGAGAGTTCAGGTGATATATCCAAAACAGTGCACGTGGCTAATTGCCAGAACTAGGGACTTAAAACCAGATCCATCTCACATTAGAGCTCATACTCTTGATTTCTAGGCTACAGACATGACCATGTTTGCTTTCTGCACACACACACATACACTCTACATTATCTGTTAAAAGATCTGGATATGACTCCTAGCCTCACCACTTATAGGCTCAGCCTGTTTTCTCATCTGCAAAATGGAAATAACAATAGGACCTGCTTTATCTCCTTCTCTTCCTCCCCTCTGGGTGACTTGGGGAATTGAGAGGTTAATAAACCTTACAGAATGCTACACATATGCTAGATTTGTGAGGACTCCAGGAAAGAAGACCATGTAGATTGTACTGGCTTTGCAAAACTTCTTAGACATGAGCAGTGGAGGAGGCTTGAGCTAAAACTAAAGGGCAGGTGAAATTTGGATGGGTTCAGGGAGAAGAAAGTATTTCAGGTAGAGAGAGGACCACAAAGGTTCAGCGACTGGACAAACAAGCTGCTGTACTCTAATGAGGGGGAATGTGAAGCATGTGTTCCTAGAGTGATAATAACTAACATTTATTGAGCATTTATGTGCTAAGTCCTTTGTTTTACATGCATTATCCTCTTTAATCCTTGCGACAACCCTACAAAGAGGTCATATTATTATCTTTCTTTTATAGTTGAGGAAACAAGCTTACAGGAGCCCCATTTGAAGCTCTGACACTCAGATTTTGGAACCCAAACTCTTACCTATCCTGAATTCTGATTAAGTGCTCAGATAATAAAAACTGGAGTAAAAGGCAGTAAAGTCATTAGTGAAACACAAAGACTCTGGGGACAGATGGCCTTGATGCCAATCTTGGCATCTATTTTTTATTCCCTTTATTACTTTATTACTTGGGTAACGCTGGACAAGTTCTTTAGTCACTCATCAGCCTCAGTTTCCTCATCTGTAAAGTGGGGATAACAGAGTTCAACTCCTATGGTTGTGAAAATTACACAAATGATCCATGTAAGAGGACTCAGAAATATGCCGGGCACATAGTAAGCAAATAATAAACAGCCACCATTATGGCATGGACTGGCTGAATCTTGTGATTGTTATTCTACTAGGTACTACATCAAATTATTTATGAAGGCCAAGGATGAATCAACCAAAAAAATCAAATCTTCTCCTGAATAACTTACCTAAGGAAGATGCAGAACCATTATTCGAGCCCAGAACTTGCCTAACTTCAAAGAGGACAGAAGTGAAATTACTTTGGAAAAGGAATCTCTCTTCCAATGACTCATGACTCCATTAGGAAAAAGAGTCCAGATAGGAGTGACCTTGGCAAAATTAGGATGAGCAAACATAGTACGTTCCATTAGGATACTTGATTTCTTCCTATGAGAAACTGTGGGTCACTTTGAGTCACTTTGCTTCTCTGAGCCTCAGTTTCTTACCTGCAAAATGGGGATAACGATACTAACCTCTCAGAATTGAAGTGACAACTAATTATACATTAAAAACTAATATTTTGGCTAGGTGCGGTGGCTCATGCCTGTAATCCCAGCACTTTGGGAGGCCGAGGTGGGAGATCAAGCCCATCCTGGCCAACACAGTGAAACTCAATCTCTCCTAAAAATACAAAAATTAGCCGAGCATGGTGGCAGGCGCCTATAGTCCCAGCTACTCGGGAGGCTGAGGGCTGAGGCAAGAGAATTGCTTGAACCCGGGAGGCAGAGGCTGCAGTGAGCCGAGACTGCACCACTGCACTCCAGCCTGGTGACGGAGTGAGACTCAATCTCAAACAACAACAACAACAACAAAATCTAATATTTTTAAAAGTGTTGTAGCTTTATTCATTTATACATCCCTGAAGTTGCATTAAGCACCCTACATGAATAATGGCATCTTCTCACTTCACAGTTCTTCTCCCAGTCACTAAACAGGATGTGGTCATCTGTTACTGTGGGGTGAATTTTGCATCTTCCCCCATTTGAGTCTAGGCCCAAGGGTTCAGTTTGAAAGAGGCTTCATTAGTAACTGGATAATTCTGTGGGAGGCCCCCAGCAATGGTTCAACCCTGCCGGGGAGTAATTCTAGGAAGGTAATGTGAGCTGGGGGAGGCTGGAGACCCAGCTTCACATTTATTTACTTTGACAGCTAAATTGGTGAGCAAGGGGGAAATCAGATGAAAGCCATTTCAGAGTAAATACTAAATACGAAATTTAAACATTCAGATTGTGACAAATGGGAAGGGGACAATGGGAAGAGACACGGGCAGCAGTCCCCTTCCAAGCCTAGGACCCTACCCTCACCCCATCAGCTTTCTAGGTATTTCCTGTTTGAGGAAAGAGCACAGAATGGGGTAAAAACTGTACGACCCTAGGCTGGCAATTTACCTCTCCTGGCCTCAGTGTCCTTGTTTGCAAAATGCACGTGTGAATCAGTGATGTGGAAGTGACAGAGAGAGCCTGAGCATAAGACAGACCACCAATCACAGCCCAGCCACCTCCTGTCGGGTGAACTTGGAAAAGTCACTTATCTGAAACTCATTTTTCTCAATATCAATATCTGGGGACAATATCAATCTCAGAGGAGTCAATAAGATAATCACTGTGAAAGGGCTTTGAGAAGCACCAAACTCTGGGGCCAGATGGCCTTGATGTCAACCTTGGCACTTCCCTTTATTACTTGGGTAACCCTGGACAAGTTCTTCAGTCACTCATCAGCCTCAGTTTCTTCATCTGTAAAGTGGGGGTAACCGAGTTCCACTCCTATGGTTGTGAAAACTATGCAAATGATCCATGTAACAGGACTCAGATATATGCCTGGCACACAGTAGTCGATCAATAAACATTAGCCATCATTATGGCACGGACTGTCTGAATTTTCTGGTTGTTATTCTAGTAGGTACCACATCAAATTCTTTA